AACTCTAAGTAGTTCTTGGCATGATAACCTTCCCCCAACATTAGCTGCTGACACTGTAGAGATGGGATGGAGAAGTGAAGTAGGAAGGGGAACTCAAGGTCAGCTGTCTATCTCGGTTATGAAATCTGTGATGTGGCTTGTGCTCTGTATTTGACCTCTGTATAACAGCTTTGTCTCAGCGCTAAGTAGCCACAAAGTCATCACCAAGAGATTTCATCCTGTTATCAGGATTGTTAACATTCTCTAATTAACTGGCTCTATCCAAAAGTGATCTGGGACTTTTTTTTCCCAAATATATTTTTATTGATTTCAGAAAGGGAGAGGGAGAGAGAGAGAGAGAGAAACATCAATGATGAGAGAGAATCATTGATCAGTTGCTTCCTGCATGCCCACTGCTGGGAATTGAATCCTGGACCCTTGACAGGAATCGAACCCTGGACCCTTTAGTCTGCAAGCCAATGATCTAGCCACTGAGCAAAAACAGCTTGGGCTGATCTGGGATTTTTGTTCCCGGTTCTTCTCATATATTCTATACCTCAATTTGAGGCGGTGGAGTGCTTAAACAATAGAAATTTATTTTCTGACAGTTCTGAAGACTAGGAATCTGAGATGAAGATGTCAGCAGGGTTGGTTCTTTCTGAGGCCTCACCTGTCAGCTTGGCTTGCAGGTGGCAGTTCTCTGTCTTACAAAGTTTCCCCTGTTTCTACTGCAACTCACTTTTATAGGGACAGCTTGCTATCTGGAAGGTTTGTATCTTCACTTGTCACAGACTTTAAGTTTCTCTTGAGATACATACCTGCTACTGTGCTGACCCCAAATCAAACTTTATTAAATTATCAAGTGTTGATATGTGCCTTGTGAACAAAAGAAGCAACCAGAGATTTAGACTGTTTAGAAAACTCTCAAACTTTCACTGTATAATAATGTCTGGCTTTATGCACATGTTTCTAGCCTGACTGAACAGCTCTAGGACTATTTACATCAAAGAATTGCTATATCTAAAGAACGTGAGTGAAAGAAGGAATTTAGGGGTAAAAAAAAAAATGAACGTATGTGTGCTTTCATATATGATGTAATATGGGAATTGTAAATCCATATAAATTCTAGATGTCTTTTTCTAATTCTTAAATGATATATGTACAAATGTCATGCTGGCCTTTACAATAGCATCATCATACTAGAATGAGAATATGTGGGCAGTAATGATGCATTATAAAGTCTTCTCCCAATTTGACATCAAGATAGGACTGAAATAATTTTTGGAACCCCTGGTGTGTAAATGACAGGGAATATCTATCTATCTATCTATCTATCTATCTATCTATCATCTATCTATCTGTATAAAAGCTTAATATCTTAATTGTCTGATCATACGACTGGTAGCTATGACACACACTGACCACCAGGGGGTAGGACGCTCAATGCACAGGCATGGAAACATGGAACAAACATGATGAATCTCAGAGGGAAGGGGGGAGGAGAGAGGGCAGGAAGAGATTAACCGAAGATCTTATATGCATGCTAGAGGCCTGGTGCACAGATTCATGTACTGGTGGGGTCCCTTGGCCTGGACTGTATCCTCTCACAATCTGGGAGCCCTCAGGGGATGTCAGACTGCCGGTTTCAGCCTGATCCCCACACATCAGGCTGAGGGACCCCACTGGTGCACAAATCAGTGCACTGGGCCATTTTCAGCCAGATCCCCGCAGGCCAGGCCAAGAGATCCCACTGGTGCATGAATCCGTGCCCCGGGCCTCTAGTTAAGATTATAATTATAAATAAGAGTATTGTGTATGTTATTTCCTGCTCCCTCAGGGTCAGTTTTATAAAATATGTTTAACCTTTTTAACACATATTAAATATACTAGTATATATGTATTTAATTTTCCAGTATTTTTTTCATTTACAAGTTAGCCAGGTAATTTATGAGGGAATGCTTATTAAAAAATATAATTTCTATTTGACTAGAAATTGAATTTATTTTGTTCATCTCTGATGCCATTTGAGTGGGTGGTATCTTTAAAGAGCTTCTTGAATATTGTGAAGTTTATGAATATTTCCCCGGAAAGAGCACATACTCTTCATCTATAATAATAAAAGTGTAATATGCTAATTAGACTGGACATCCTTCCGGATGTCTTTCTGGATGACCATCCAGACAAAGCTGGGGCTGCAAGGGAAGCCCAGGTCCCGGGTGCCAGAGGGAAGCTGGTGCCGGCAGCTGGGGGAAGGAAGGCATAGTCTGGCATGAATTTCATGCATTGGGCCTCTAGCATATTCACAATACAGTAGAGTACTAAAATTCCATTAAATTTTCTTCAAACAAAATAAACTAGATATTTACCTCTGGAGATGTATAATACTGTTACATCAGAAATACGTAGACATGTGTGTTTATAGTTGGTTTTAGAAAGCACCATCATTGCTTTCTCTGTCAAGTTCATTGACTCCTTTATAAATAATATAGTTTGTTGTAAGAGTACCTTTGGGCCTTCCAGGCAAAATTAAGTGAAAAAGTCTTGTAGAGAATTAATTCAGGAAAATCACCAGAAAAAGCATAGAAAAAGCATAGAAAAATTTTGAAAACAAATTTGGGCTAGCATTGTCTAAATTTCTATAAAATTTTAACTTGATTTAAAATAATTTTACTTAATTTTTTATTATGTTTGTGTGTGTGTGTGTGTGTGTGTGTGTGTGTGCATATTATATATAAAATATATATAAAAGTCTAAGTGACCATTTGACCATTCAACTGTTCTACCGGTAGCTATAATGCACACTAACCACCAGGAGGCAGACACTCAATACACAGGCATGGAAACATGGAACAGACTGATGAATCTCAGAGGGAAGAAGGGAGGGGGTAAGACAAAAAGAGATTAACCAAAGATCTTATATGCATACTAGGCCTGCCAGGATCAAGCCAAACCCAGCAGTCCGACATCCCCTAAGGGGTCCTGGATTACGAGAGTGCGCAGGCCAGGCCAAGGGACCTACTGGTGGACAAATCCGTGCACTGGGCCTCTACTTATATATAAAATGACTGTATGTTTCAGTGTCTGTCCGAGTTGGTATCGTAGAGGGAGTTAGACATGAATTTCAGTTCTGGCCCTGTTACTTAAACTCCTGAGTCCCACCTGCAAAATAACAAAAATAATAGTGGCTTTCAGTATTACCATATTCATTAATAATCTGTGCCTTTTACATAAAAAAATGCACAAGAAATGTCTTTTACTACCCCTTATTCCTTATTTAATTAAAATAAAAAATTTAAGACTTTAAAAAATAGTTTGGCCTAACTTAGCGTTGTTTTCTATTTAATTAAGATGAATAGGGAACATTTGTACTCCGGTGTCTTGCTTTCTTTCACTGTGAACCTGCTGTGTTGCCTGCATCCATCCATCCCTCTGAGGTCTCTCTCTAGACCAGTTTGTGTCTAATAGAAGTTTCTATTACAGGAGAGCTTCCTTCCTGCTGCCAAGAAGGCCATTTAAATATAAGTGGAATTAGCTACAAATTACACAAATGCAATGTGTGAAATATCTTCCATATTCTCTTGGTGTGAGTGAATACACCATGGAACCTCATGTCTAACATGAAATGTGAAGATGTATCCATGCACCTATTTTTTTAAAAAAAACAACAACAACAACAATTCATGGATGTATTCATTTAAGGTTTTCTAATCATCCCGATAAGACGTTTTCTTCATGGCTCCTGTGAAGTGTCATCTCTTGTTCTGGCAATGATCAATTGATTATCCCCAATGAACTTGTGTACATAAAATATTTGAATCCTTTAGGACAAATTACGAACATCACTATTTGACTATTTCTCTCACTGAATATTTAGAATTGCTTGTTTTCAGACTTGACAGTGCAAATACTATATTGATCATTAATTACTGTGTACTATTATAAATTTGAAGGGGACAAAAAAATAGTCATTTGTAAATAATATTCAGGGGTCAGGAAGACTTAAAGACAAAAGTTAATAATAATGCCCTCGTGTATTAGTGTTTACTTTCTTACTCATGAGGCATGTTGTGGACCTCTGAATGTTTACATAAAGGTAGGGTGGGGGTGTGGGGACTGGGTTAAGGGATGGGCAGGGGATTTGCCTTGAAGTTGTGTTTATCCAAGTAACACTGTTTTTACTTAGTGTATCCTTTTATTTTTAAAGATCAATAAAAGTAGCAGTGTTTTTCTAAAGGTATTTTTGTTCACAAGTCACATACAAATTTTCCTACTTACTAATTGTTTTTCTTAGGGGAGGTGGTTTCAAAAACCAAGATAGAGATTGTTGGCCGAGGCACCTCCCCACCCCCACGACCCCCAGCTACCGTTTGATGGGGGGGAGGCTTCGCAGAGGCTGGTCATGCTGGAGCTGGACTGGGGAGGGGACCGCCCGTAGGTATAGCAATGCCCTCTTCCCACTTCAGTGAGGACTGTGGGGCCTCCTAGCATGCTGGGTAGTAACAGCTGCTCATACTTGCTTACCTGTTCAGCGTGACTTGTCACCTTTTGAATCTCACAGCAATTCTAGCAGGAAGGTAGGTATTATGGTCCTCATTTTGAAGAGGAGGAAACTGAGGCTCAGAAAATTTAAGTGTTTTCCTTATGTCACTCCCCACTGCTCTTGTCCTCCTTCATGGGATACAGATGTGCAGTTTCTGAATACAGGCAAATGAAGAAAGCAAACCAGGACCTCTGATTTATATCATTTTGCCAATTGAAGGTTATTAAACTTCCAAGTTTTGTTCTTAAAACACTTTTAAAAATGTTGACAACTTAAAAGCCCAACCGTCTTTCGTTTCTGCCGCTGTTTGCAGCGTGGAGCCTGGGCCAGGCTCTGTGGGCGAGGACAGGTCCCTGGGCAGGGCAGGGCGGGGCTGGGCCTCCCTCCCGGGTGCAGAGCCTGCTGTGCGGCAGGAGAGAGAAAGCAGCGGTAACCATCGCAGGTCTGGGTAATGTGATGTGGTCTTCATACCTTCACTCAGGTGGAGCCCGAGAAGCTGAAGACACTAACAGAAGGTTTAGAAGCCTACAGCCGAGCCCGGAAAAGAAACAGAAAGTAAGCTCTACTGTTTTTTTTCTTCCCATTTTTTAGTAATAAACTTTGGATTTATTTCTTTATTATTATTTTTATTATTGATTTCAGAGAGAAAGGGAGAGGAGGGAGAGAGAGATAGAAGCATCAATGATGACAGAATCATTGATCAGCTGCCTCCTGCAGACCCCACATTGGGGATCAAGCCTGCAACCTGGGGAATGTGCCCTGACTGGGAATCAAACCAGGACCTCCCGGTTCATAGGTTGATGTTCAATCACTGAGCAACACCTGCCAGGCCCACTTAGTATTTTAAGGATACAATTTACTGGTTTTCCTTCAAAAGGACAATGAAATCTCGCTGATTTTGTTCAGCCTGTAGGCTGCCTAAGAACAGTGTGATCGTTATCACCAAAGAGGCCCATTATAGACAAACCAAATTAGCTGCTTCAGAAAACATTTTCTTAGCAGTTTATACTGGCGAGGGGAGGAAGGGTTTGGTCTGCATCGGCTCTTTCCTAACTCCCTCCATCTCCATCCCTCTGATTCAGTGGACAAGGGAATATGATTCATATCCTCAACATGTAGCAATTAAATTGTCTCTGAAACCATTTACAGTTTGGCAAATTAGTCAAAGAATTATTTTTTTCCTTGGGGCAGATGTAGTAAGTTCTCTTTGAAATTGTAACAAGAAGTTGAACTTTGGGACATTATTTTTTTCCAGATCTTTATACTCTGAGTAAATGTAGAATGTTAAAGTAAATAATGTTTGGAGCACAGTTTCCACTATAATACAATGCAGTCTTCACAAGCATCATGGTGACTGACTGGCCTGTGAAGGAGAGTAAGCAATCAAGGACACCTGCCCAGGTTTTGGTTTGGATGTCCCGGTGGGTGGCAGAAACCCTGATCGGAATAGAGAAGTCAGGAAGAACTGTTGGGTGCTGTGTGGGTGCCTGTGGGATAGGTTGGACACTCAGGTCTGAAACGGACGTTGTATTTGACATTGTAAAAATGGCCGCAAACACAGAGAAATACCTTGGCCGGATTCAACACCGGGGCATTGAACTTACTACAGAATACTGGAGAAGATGGGCAGAATGTGCAGAAAGGAGGGGGACCATCAGTAGTAAGAGAGCAGGATGTTAGAAGCCAAAGACTACGGTAAAAGTTTCGGGATGACAGAATGCTCAACAGAGGGCCAGTAAGACAAACACTGAGACATCTCCATTGACTGGGCAGTTTGGAGGCCAGTGGTCAGGTTCCCACTGGAGTAGTGGCTATAAAAACAAAGTGGCCGTGGGTTGCTACCGTTAATGTGAGAAGTTCCTGAAGAATAACAATAAAAAATGTTTAAGGTTACAAAGATTTGACGGCTTTTGTAGACCGGGGGGAAAGAACAGAGGAAGAAATTGCAAGGGGAAGATGGTTTTGAACAAGATTGGGAAGCGGTTGGTTTTTTATCTGAGTTGAAATCCTGTTTCTTTCACTTCATTCCTCTGAGCCTAAAGTCTTCATTTCTAAAATAGGCATGGTAATACCTACCTTTTAGGATTTTTGTAACATAGATAACATAATCAGAGCCTTAACATAGTACTTGGTACATATTAAATATTTAGTAAATAGTTATTTTTGTTAGAAAGATAGAAGTGAAAGAAACAAAATTATCCGATATTTATGCAGTTGAAATATTCTATCACCATATCAAATGCTTAAAACTTTATGTAGTCACTTTATTCCTCAGCAACCTACAAATTGCACAATAAAATACCTTTAAACTTACATGCTTATTACAGCCTAACCGCAAAAGAAATATTAACATATTTATTGATGACACTACTCAGGTCATTTTGTACTTAAAAAGGAAATAGCTTTGTTCAAGAAAAATTCCATAGCTTTTAGGATTATTATGGTTTTCATTTATGTGAAGATTAAAATACCTGTCTTATACATACATATAAATTATTTGGTACCCTGATTTTTACAAAGCTGGAAAATGATAAAGTAATAAGACAAATCATACTTTTAGTTTAAAACCAAGAAATAATACTTAGTGTGTAAAATTTTTTTAAATCTTCATACTTTCTCTATGATAATGTTTTAGACTCTAAGGTTCTTGACCTTTAAGATTTCTCCAAATCTGTTCTGCATGAAGTGGCCCAGAATGTAAACGTGACAGTGTAGAGCAACATGCAGTTTCTCATTTCCCTCTTATTTCTTGTGCCACTCACAAGTGTGTACCTGGCTTTTTTTTTAATTAGTGAAGAAAAGGATAATGTGTGGCAACATAGGCAATGGAGATGAGAAGTGGCAATTATCTCCATTAATAACTATAAATGTGATTATATGAGCATCAATTGCTTAATCAAGTAGGTTTTAGAGTGTCCATTAGTAAAAATGTTTATTATTAAATGTCAGCAGGGTACAGAAAATAGTAGAATAGACACCACAGGGAGGCCCCCTGGACTGGAGGGCTGAATTTTCTCTAATTGTTCATTTCAGGAACTCTTGGAGTTTTTTCTTCCTCATTTAAGCTCATTTTCCCCCTACCTGACAAGGGAGAGTAAAAATTGGTCTGGAGATTTGACATTGGCGACATCATTCTCGGATCCTCATGATATAGTCAAGTAGTTTCATGTCCCGCATCTCTGTATCTATCCTGTCTTCCAAGAGTACTCACTTCTTCCTCTATTAACTACTTAAGTTTGTTAAAGAAAAACAATATTATACTAATTTAGCTTACATTAATACGAGGTAGTTACAAACATTTTAAATATCTTGTTGAAAAATGAGATCACAATCCCCTAAAATTCTAGCTTTTCATTTAACAGGTAATATTAAATGATTTATCTTCTTTAATGGAGATGTTATTGACATTTTTTTAAATTAAACTTATTGGGGTGACATTGGTTAGAAGGATCCCATAAGTTTTAGCTATAGAGTTCAGTATATTCAAGATCTGCATATTGCACTGTATGCCCACCACCCAAAGTCAAATCTTTCGTCATCATATATTAGGCTTCCTTCATCCCACACCCTCTCCCTCTTCCCCCTGGCAACCACCAACCACACTGCTGTTTGTGTCCATGAATTTCAGTTTTATATCCCACATGAGTGAAAGCATATGGTTCTTAGCTTTTTTTCTGACTGGCTTATTTCATTTAGCATAACATTCTCAAGGTCTGTCTATGTTGATGGTTCTTCTCAACAAGAACAGTAATAACAAGAGTTGGAGAAGTGGTGGAGAAAAGGGAACTCTCACTCACTGCTGGTGGGAATGTAGATTAGTGCAGCCACTGTAATTTTCATTAGTTACATAAAGTTTTTATGACTCTGTTTATTACTTTTAAAACTATTTATACTTAAATTTTCATCTTCCTCGTTACAAAATTAAAATTGGTTTCACCAGTTCCCCCTAAAAAAGTAATAAGGTATTGCATGCAAAATTTATCATAATACCTACCTTTTAGGATTGTTGTATGGGTTAAATAAGATAATGCTATAAAGATTTAACACAATTCTTGGCACAGAAAATTTTCAATAAATAGTCATTTTTGTTAAGGTAAAGGTGATAGAAACAAGATTCTCTGATGATTTTTCATGGAAACTTTTTACCATCTTTTAGATATTTAGAACTTCGTATAGTCAATTTTAAACCCATAAGATCTTATAATTGAATTGTGTAACAAAGAAATATATTTTAAAACGTATGTTCATACTTTTCAATACAAAAAAATAGTAAGGATAAATCTATTTAGCACATAACACAAGGAGTAATAGTGTTGGGCCACTATCAAGACCTTCTCCAAACAGCCCACAAAAACCTCAGCCAAGGGTAGGTGGCCCTGCAGTCCTGGGACTGGATTCCTGCCCAGTCACCCAGAATTCTGCCTAGCCAACTCCTCACTGGGAAAAGAGGGCAGACTGACTCCCCAAGATGATACCCCGGCCCTCTTAAAACCAGAATGGGTAGGTAAATAGAAACAGTGTATAATAGATCATATGGACAGTGCTCAAAAACAGTAATAAGTGTGTGGGGAGGGAAATAAGTTGCAGAATGGTGTATAAATATATAAATATATATATATTTTAAAGTTGATAACACAATCCCAGGTACTGTTTATGAATAATCATAAAATATGAACACATTCTAGAAGGAAGACAGTTGCCTTTGAGAGGAGGGTGGGAGAGAATGGGCCTGGGAATTGATGAAAATGGGAACGTCAACTTCAATTAAAAAAAAAAAAGGACTTAAATATGTCATGTGTTAACAGTTTATTCTTGGAAATGGGTTTGTTAGGAGTCGGTCATTTATTTTATGCATTTTTCTGCATTGTTTAGATTTCTAAAAGCACAGGGGAAAATATAAAAGCTGGAGGCTAGCTTACAGGTCAGCAAAAGGTGGGTGGGAGAGGTTTGGTGTTACATTAGCCTTATAATGTGGTTACAGCCAATGCATTTATCTTTCCTTTCAGTTAAACTGACTTAAGTGCATACTATATGTTTTCCAAAACATAGGGCCAGCATGCTACCCTGGGACACATCTTTTTATTTAGTAAACATAGGCATCATGGTGTGCCCCGCTCTGTGCTACTGAGGGATGGAAGACTCGGAGTTCTTCAAGGAATACCCAGACACTAGGTGTATGAATGGTCAGCCCTGGACTGGAGGATAAAACCTGGCGAGGAGTGCGGTGAGCCGAAAGGGCTCATCTAAAGGCAAATGCGTTTTAAACGGGCCGCGAGCCAGATTAAGTGGGACTGTGAGCCAAATTCTTCTGCATCTGTAAATCTCTGGTCTCCCTGTAGATGCTGAGATACAGTTTAACCCTTGGAAAGCTCTGCAGCTTTTCTCATAGTTGTCCTGGGAAGATAAGTGAAATGGATCACCTTACTCAGAATAACTGGGTAATTATTTATACGCATAGAGCAGGGGAAACAGGTTAACGGAATGGACAAAGGGTCCGTGACTGCAGAGACGGCTAGTGTGGATTTGCCTGCGTTTAGTAACTAGTCCAACAGCTTCCTTGATGTAAGTTTCCATCAAGGCAGATGTGCCCTGGGCGTTATTCAGGCCAAACGTGGGTAAAAGAATGCTGAATGGGGAGGAAAGGTCAGGCAAGTGATAGACATTCTGAGACTGTCAGTCTTTATCTGTTCAAACAGTTATGCCATTTGGGTGTTTTGTGTGGTTTTTTGTTTTGTTTTGTTTTGTTTTGTTTTGTTTTGGGGGGGGGGTGGGGGCGCGCACGGAGGGTGCCTTGGGTGTGGCGAATTCTGCAGCCGGCTCCCATCTGGCATCAGCCTTCCTTCACTAGCCTCTGAGGCCAGGAGCTCCAGAGAAGGGAGAGGGAGCTCCCTAGTGGCCAGAGCCCGCAGTTCAGCCCCTCCGCCCTTCCCTTTGGCCACATGCCTGGCTGCTGCCGGAAAAGAAACAAGCCAGACTCACAAGACAGGCAGGACAGGCGGGAAGACGAGCAGCGTCTGTGGGAAAGAGACCCGTGGCCCACATTCTTTGCAAAATGATCAGATGTGGAAGAAGCATGCGCAAGGGGAAAGAATCTGTTTTCCCCAATCTGTGTTCAATTCCCTCCCTCTCTCCCCCGCAAAAAATAAAAATAAAAATAGATCTGCTATTTTATCATCAGCCTTCAGTGGAGAGAATTCCAGAGTGTGTTGTCATGTGAATTTTCCAAATGTGACGATAAGTTGATTTTTCTCTGGTGGAATTGGTATTTCTGTTTGCTGATGAGGGAATTAAACTGCTGCTTTGTTTCTTTAATTTATTAATCTGATGTGTTGTTTTCATTAATTCCAGAAGTGGAAAGTTAAATAACCATTTAGAAGCTGCTATTCATGAGGCCATGAGTGAACTGGACAAAATGTCTGGAACTGTAAGTTAATTCGTTTTCCCATTATACTGTGTTTCTTTGAAAATAAATTGTATTGCACTTTTTTGCTGTAGTCTCTAAAATATGGTCAAGCAACTCATGTAGCAATCCTAAATTACTAGGCTCTAAAGAAGACTGGTATCAGAATAGATCCAAAAGTAATTTAAGAAGAAATAGCCTACCAGTACTAGCTATGTCTTTTCCTGTATAGGTAACTTCCTCCCAGCACCACCACCTCCCACCCCCAGCATACAGCTTTTTTTAAAAATATGAGCAACAAAATATTTAATTCAAACCACTAGCTTTCTGCATTTGGATTCTGAATAGCGTGGCCATTAATGTTGCCTAAATATTCACTGATACAATTTTTTTTTAAAGCCTAATTTATTTATTTTCAAATATATTTTATTGATTTTTTTTTTTTTTTTTTTTTTTTACAGAGAGAGGAAGAGAGAGGGATAGAGAATTAGAAATATCAATGAGAGAGAAACATAAAGCTGCCTCTTGCACACTCACTACTGGGGATGTGCCCACAACCAAGGTACATGCCCTTGACGGGAATAGAACCTGGTATCTTTCAGTCCACAGGCCGACGCTCTATCCATTGAGCCAAACCGGTTTCGGCCACTGATACAAATTTTGTCCATAGAACAAAAAAGTGAAATTGAACAACAGGGTCAAGATCAACAGTTCACAGACCTCTCATTTCCTTCCCACTGTTAGCTAAAAAATAAAATATTTGGCACAAAACTCTTGTTGTTAAGCTAATTAACACTATAATCTTTGGTTTTAGAGAAGTGGTATCTACTTTTTCTTTCCTTTAGTGAACAGTGCATATAACAGCGTTAGATGTAAGCAATTTAATCATTGTCCTTCAAGTATCATTTTGGTGATCGTTTTAAATATGTGACGTAGCTAAAGCTATTCAGCTCTGAAAAGTTATTTCTCTTCCTTTTCCTTGACACGTTGTGCTCACACGGTTATCTGAGAGCTAGCCGGTGGCTGTTGTGTGACAGGGTTATGTCATAGACTCACAGAATGCTGGGACGGGTGAGGTCTTTAGAGACTCTGTGACCAAACCCATCATTTCACGGATGGGCACCCGGAGGCCCTGCGGTGTTCGTTTTCCCGGCAGAGTGACAGAAAAGTCTGGAACTAGGATTACATACTCAAATGCCTCCTAGGACCAAGCACATAACATCCATAGGTAAGGTGAGTCAGGTGTGAGGAAAACAGCAGTTTGCGTGGACTGAGACGTGCCCACACAGAGGCGCTGGTGAGACCAGGCTGCCTGCCACTGCCGGTCTTAGAGGCTCTGCAGTGACTGCTCGCTCCCGCCTGGTTCCGACCGGACGGTCTCACTCCACACAGGCGTTCGGGGGCACAGGTTCTTTAGCACCCACTGTTCCTTAGAGCCTCAGGGTGCTCCACGATAACCTTTGTGTTGAGCCCAACGGCCTAGAGAAGAGAGTGCACACAGAGCACCAGCTGGATAGGTTTGACAGGCCAGGCCCGGCAGGTAACACTCCTGCTGACCCTCTGGGCCTGACCCAATCATGTTGCCTTTTTTTTTATTTTTTCCTTTTAACATATTTTTATTGATTTCAGAGAGGGAGAGAGAGGGAAACAGAGATAGAAACATCAATCATGAGAGGTAATCATCGTTCAGCTGCCCACCTGCAGCTGGGGATCAAGCCCACAATCCAGGCATGTGCCCTTGACCTGAATTGAACCTGGGACCCTTCAGTCCGCAGGCTGACGCTCTATGCACAGCTGGGGCTCACGTGGCCTTCTGAACTCATGGACAAGGACATGCCTTATACAAGGTGTCTTCTCAGGAAGAAGAGAAAATGGGTTTAGCAAGTATCTCACTAGTGCCTGCCTCAGGACGTTGGCCTCTGTGGCCCAGGGACTGTCTCAGGTCACAGGGACTGTGGTAACTGGAGCGGAGTCCCTGCAAGAGGAATAAAATTTCTCTCTCTCTCTCTCTCTCTCTCTCTCTCTCTCTCTCTCTCTCTCTCTCTCTCTCTCTCTTCCCCTCTCTCCCCCTCTCCTTCTCCTTCTCCCTCTCCCTTTTCCTCTTTCTCTCCTTCTAGTGTTGACAACTATTTTTGAAATAGTAAAACATCATATGGCTAAACAAAATACCTTTTCATGGGTTACTAGTTTACATTCTTGAATAATGGCTTTCCTTGATTATAAAAAGATTTCAGTTATAACCCCTTATCAGAGGCTATGATTTTTTTTTTAATGTATAGGAAAGGGTTAAGAGGAAGAGGCATTTTGAAAAAATGCATAAATGCTATTTTTTAAATTTCAATATTATTTTTTAAGAAGTCTTCTGCATTTGACCCTGAATAGCATTGACCTTTGCTACTATGTAAATGTTATTTTTTAAAACATACAATAGAGCCAACTTGTTGTGTATCTCACGAGCTGATTGTGTACATCTCTTTCTAACTCTTAGTTCTGTGACATCACATTGGTAGCTTGAAATTGACCATGTGGAAGTATTTACACTGTAGAAATTGGCATGTGCTACCATGTATTATATTTGTGTCCCTGCACAGGTAGCTAGTTGGTTGTTAATCATTTTGCTACGCCACTGCCTTGGGCCCATCCTGCCTTTCCTGCATCTTGACTTTGCCCTCTCTCATCAGTAGCCACAATTCAACATAGGGCACCTGATCACCTTTCTGACACTTTTCCTCTCAAAACCACACCATCTGCTTTCTGACACCTGGCAATCATGCTCCTCGTTTGATTCACCCCTGCTCAGTCTGATACATGGCCCTGAATCCTGCTAGTTTCTGTGTTTGTTTATAAAGAGGACTTGTATTAATTGCTCTTCCCAGGCTACGTAAGCTCAACTCTGCCAACAGATGGTAGTGGTGTTCTATTTTCCATCCTGACTCTTATAAATAAACTTCTAGGGCCAAGGTTCTTACAATGTTTTACCCTTCTTAGTGGTTGTGAAATAAGTAGGGTGGTGAGTAAAGAAGAAAACATGGTTGGGGTGTGTATTCATCCACTTTCCAGATCCTGGTGGCATTGATGACCGAGGGCTCTCTGACGGGAAAGGCCTTGTTTCCATCAGAAACGTACCACAGCTGTGGCAGCTGCACACCGCCTTTCCCACGCTTGAATTTCCCGGTTCCTCCTTTATGTCCCACTGTTGTGGGGTCCACAGAGTGCTGCTCTGCCTCTCAGCTTCTAGGGCTCCTCATATTCTGTAGTGACCAGGACACACTGAGATCTAGGGTCTTGGCAAATGTTCTAAAAACACCCTACGATAGCAGTGATTAAAAATGGAAGTCTGAGTCTGTTTCCTACGTTGCTTTGTCAGGAATCAGATGGTATTTATTATTTCAACCTCTGTTGTTGTCTTCCCACCTCTTTTTTTCCAGGTTCACCAAATCCCACATGGAGACCGACAAATGAGACCCCCCAAACCCAAGAGGAGGAAGATCTCCAGATAACAGGGACTACTCCACCACGCACAGTGTTTGTGAAAGGAACGCGCGCAGATAGATCTGTATATAGGTATTGATATAGCCACTGTTATATCAATATTTATACGATGGCAGAGAGCTACCACCACCGCAGGGTGCTAAAAGAAACAGCGATACAGTATTTTTTTGATCAGGAAGGAAAATGAATGCTGGAAAAACCAATCAAAATCCCTGAGTGATGAGCGTGATAAATGGTCAAGAGATGACTGAGAAACTTTTTTTTTTTTCTAGAACACTAAAATTGTGATTATAAGAAGTAGTCCAAATGTTTCTGAAGAATTTTCAATGTTGTATATAGAAGATACAGAATTTCATGGTGATATCAGAAATGTAAATATTGTACAATATTGTCATGTACAAGCGTACTTAATGCACACTTTATCTTTTATTGTACAAAGAAATAGTGTACAAAATTCTTTGGTTTCTATGGAGTACACCTACCAGAGACTACCATTGTAAAGTGATAAATAAAAATACAACCTAAATGCTTTTCTATGATAATGTAAAAGATGCTGTTTTTGTATTTAACAGCAGAGAAAAGGCATGACGATGTGTATCTCCTGAATGATGACATACACTGCGCACCACTGAGTGTCCATTTATATTGTCTGTTTGGATGCACCTGGCCTGGAAGCACTGGACTTGACCTCGGGCGTCTAGAAAGTTGAAACCTGGCAGATTTCTAAAGGGTTGAGGGCTCACAGGTCTAAATTCAGAATTCAGAAGCTGCAACCATTTGTTGCATATTTTTTTTACCTAAGTTTTAAAGTAGAATAGGTTTTATATATAAAAAAAAAAAAATCTTAGAGGGAATATTTTACTCGGTCATTTCTGTAGGTAACGTTTGATAGCCACCGATGGAACTAGGTTGCTTTTATGCTGCACCATCTTGAGGCTCAGAGCTAAGTTTCTTTGCAAACAATACCTGACAAGGTGAAAACTTTCTTCTGTTCCTGTACATAGAGGCAAAAGCCCCACTTTGAAATCACCATCAGCGAGAAGGTTGGTTATAATTCAGTTTTCCTTTGGGGGCAAAAAGAAATATGAATCATCAAAGCAAGTTTCATGTATCCATCCATTTATCAGTATTACTTAATCCGCAAGCTAAGGTGGCTTTCAAAGTTATTAGCAATGGTAATTTTTTATCAGTATTATGTAACATATCAGATTTATTTTATTTAAAGAATTATTTATACCATTAACAGATTCTTATATAAATATATATATATATATATTAATGTGGCTGAAATGTGCAGGTTAAATCTATTAACCAAATTATTTATATTATATTAAATAAGAAACAAATTTGAAACAAATGTAGAAAGAAAATACTACATTGCAAGTATACAAGCCTAAAACTATGAGCCATTGTAAAGTACAAGGTAATTAATAAGAAACGTAGCACAACCTAATTTTCTGTCTTTTTTTCCTCCCCCAGTTTTTGTGGTGGTGGTATAACCCTATCTCCCAAGCAATTGAACAAATTTTCAGGCCTCCAGCCAGGCCTCTGTTGATGTATTGTCAAAAGAAGTTCATTATTCCTTTATTTTTTCTACAACCAGCCCCACCCACACATTCTTACTCCCCTGGGGAGCGAGGCCTTGTTCCCCTAGCCCTGGGCTCACTCAGCAGCTTAGTGACCGGGGTGCTGGGAGACCCTCCAGTAGCTCACTCTGACCCCAAAATGCCCACCACCTCCCCTCCTCTCCCATCCATCCCCCAAACTCCTCAGTCCCATGATGTAGCAGAGTTCCAGTAACTCAGGAAAAAAAGAGACCAAGGTCATTCCTCCAACTGGTTTCCTGGGGCCACAGCACAGAACACTCGCCCTGGGCTGCCTGTAATATCAGCAGCTCTTCCTTCTTCCCCCAGGTCTCCTGTGTCTCTGTGTCCTTTCCACGCCCACCCTCAGCCCTGTCCCCAAGCCTGATGGAATGCAACTGGCCACACAGGGCTCACTGGCCTGGAGGGAGGGACCCTTCCTTCCGGGGCAGGTCCGTTTTGCCTTTCCCCAGTCCTCAAGTCATCTTCTGTGTGGTTGAGTTGGCACATTTCTGTAATTAGTTGATGTGTCCAGTGAGTTTCAACCAACCATTAATGTTGTCCATTTTTTGTGCACCAACCTGCTTTTCCTGCTTTTCTACTGTTTTGTTTATATGATTGATTTTATTCACAGATAGGTGCCTATGTCTGTGTCTGTCTGGGTTAGCGTGTGTGTGTGTGTGTGTGTGTGTGTGTGTGTGTGTGTGTGTGTGTTGATATGGACAAGTTTTTTCAGCCTTTGCTTTTTCGAATTCAGACTGAGTTTGTGTCAACCAGGCCTTCTTTTCATATTTTAAACTAACTGGGTTTGTGCTTCCCCTATCCATGTATACTTTACATCAGCAGACCATGTAAAGTATGTTTGCACCCATGATTTCGTTGGCTGCTCACAGCTTTGATGTGGGTGCTAGGTGTTGCTGTTTCGGTCTACCCGGGGTTTGTTTTGGTTTTTTCCCTTTCTCTTTTACAGTTATATGATTTCATGTAAGCAGTTGATGTAAATATTGTTGGCATGACAGGTCATGCAGTGCTGTAACATTTTTTTAAATGTTGCACCTACTTTACAATTAAAAAATTGGTCACCATCCTTAAATTTTGCCCATAGAGCCATTTCTTTCTCTTTGCATTAAAGCCAATTCATTTTTTAAAATGAAGGCTAGCCTTTCTACCTTAGTACATTTTTTATTCCCTAAAATAAACTTTCCCCCCCAATATATCCTAGAATAGAAATTGAATGAAAATTTTTTGCTCCTTTTAAGAACTTTAATAGCTCCCCTGGGAAAAGGCAATCTAATTTTATTCTGTTCCCCTCACAGTTTTAGGAAGCACAAGGAGAATAAACTACACCTTCATGTAGCTTCCAGAGATTATTTCCAACGAGTGAAAATTAACAAAGCAGCTCTTGTTTGATTTGTCTTGTTTGTGGCATTAAAAGCAATCAGGGTTTTTATTTTTAATTTAAAGGAACATTTCAATTCTGTGAATATCAATGCTTTAAGAAGAATACTCATCCCTTGTGATATCATGGGCCACTTTTAGTTTTTAATTAGACCCTGACTTGGAGTTATTTGCTGTGTCTGTTTTTTGTTTTTTGTTTTTTTTTTAAGTAATCACTACCTTCTTTTTTGAACATACAGCAAAATTGTGGGAGGAGCAGAGGGCAGTTATTTTGTTTTTTGTTAAGTTTTATGAAGATTCTCAACTGATTTATCCTATGAGGCGATTTCCTTTTTCATTTCCGAGGGTGATAACACCTTGCAGTGAGCTTTGGTAATCGTCCGTGCAGTGTGAGTCACAGGCCATTCTGCATTGAGATTTTAAAATCTAAGATGCTCAAGATCCTGATGACATTGTGGGGGGAAAAAAAAAAAAAAAAAAAAAAAAAGCCAAGGATTCTAGACCTTCCTGAAAATCTGAAATCTTGTTTATGTTGCCCATTTATGCCCAAATAGTGTAACCCAAAACTCAAGACATTGTCACTGTCATGTATAAAATGAGTTATGCAATAGTTTATTGATGTGGGGGCTATGACCAAATTAATATCAACCTGATATTAAGAACTGTAATATTGAATTAGTTTATTTCATTCATTCTCTATCACATTTGCATTAGCCAAAGAGATAACAACATTAGTAATTCATGTGTGTAAAAAACCCCTAGTGATTATTAAATCAGTGAGCCAAAAAGCAATAAACAATTCCAGCATGGGATATCCTGCTAAGAGTAGGGAGTTTGAGGGAGAAAAAATATACAAAAATCATTTTCTTAAATATGAAAGATTAATTTGTATCTACTGTAAATATGTATTATCAGCCTTACCTGCTTTTATACACACTGTGTGTGTACTTCAGTGACCTTTTATAAATTGGAAAAGAAATGATTGATTTACTGATTTGTTATGTAAATACAAAGTTGTCTATAAATCAGAAACTTTGATGCTGGATGGCTTCACAATATACAAATGTGTTTTGTAACATCATGCCTTTATGGATTAAGTATAAATACACCAATTGTCTGTGTAAAAAACTAGCAATTTACATTTCACCTGCATTTCAAATGAACATCTTTATCCAAATAGTTATGATCTTAGGAAAAATAAGTGACATCAACATTTTCATTGCGAAAAACAAATACGGTTTTGGACTCACGAAAACTCCTTTTCCCACTCAAGGGTCTTTTCAGTTCCATGCTAAATGCCTTGTGTTCGCAGATTTCCAGAGGTGATTTGATTCATTGATCCAGGTCTGGGCTCTGCCTAAGAAACCTCCCCAAATGAAATTGTTCTATTTTAGAGACAGGCTGTGCATCTTAATTTCTAAATCGTAGGCAGGGCAAAATCCACAGCCACCTTATGGGTTTTAACTTATTCTTTTCTATTTCATACATCTTGGAAAGCACCACACACAGAGTCAGAGCCTAGTTCCTCAAGAGTGTCATCCCAGCCCAGGGTTTGTCAGCCTTGGTGTCATTAACATTTGGGTGCCATCACGCTTTGCTGCGGGGCTGTCCTGTGCATTGTAGGACGTTTGGCTTCCTCCCTGGTCTCTACCCACCAGATGTTGGTAGCTTCCCTTCCAAATTGTGACTATCAGAAACGACTCCACACATTGCCAACTGTCTCCTGGAGGGGGGCCTGGGGGCAAGGGACAAAGTGAGATTTGAAAACCACTGCCTTAACGGAATCCGTTAGGGAACGTATGTCTGTGTGAAGTACGCCATGTTTTGCATGCTGTAATCAACAGGAAACAGATCCCTGGATCAAAATCCACAACAGAATCCATGCCACGGGTGAGCTTCTCAATCCATGGTTAACAAAGGGGAATGTATGAGCTTTGGTTCTATGTTGAACACATTCAACACTTTGATCCTAGGCCCCAGGACAATCATGTTTTGAGAACTCCCAGATAAGGCTTAGGAGAGTCACCTGAGTTTCCAAGAAGACGGAGGGCCCATTTGGGTAATGCACAGGGCTTCCGGCAGCGGAGGGCTGCCCAGTGCCAGTGTAGCTGCCTCCCTTGGTCCAGATGAGGGCATTGGCAAAGGAGGCCCTGTTCTGAGTGTATTTTAACAGCCCTCTACAGCAGCCTGGTTCAGGAATCGGTAGTTTTTGTGTGATCCTCTTAAAAGTTCTGGTTAGAAGCAGTTCAGTAGACCTTGGAGATATCATGGATAAATATATTCATTCAATAAATATTTATGGACACCTACTCTATGCCACAACCTGTGTGGCAAGGGGGATGCAGTAGGGATAAGACAGACCTCTTCTTTGCCCTCACAACAGCTGCCCAAGGAGATTGCCAGTTGATGTGTAAGTACAATCAAAGGTGGTAGGCTGGGGGGCTGGGATAGAGAAGCCCATCACAAGCCCCTGGCCCCATGTGATGGGTATGGGGCCTCAGTGAGGATCAAGGAAGATGAAGAAGCTCAGGCACAGGAGATGTATGTGGCCTGGAGGAGGGTAAATGA